GCTTTTGAGGGCATTCTTCTCCTCATTGGCTTTTTGGACGTCTTTTGCCATTTGGGGTAAGTTATTTTTTAAGGTGTTATTTTCTTCAATATTTTTTTGGGTCTCCTTTAGCAAGCTGTTGAGTTGTTTTTTATGATTTTCTTGCATCGTTCTTAGTTTTTCCTCTACTTCTCTTACTTGCTTCTCAAAATCCCTTTTGAGCTCTTCCAAGGCCTGGGACTGATTCAGATTTTTCTTGTAGGCTTTGGATGTAGGAGCTTTGACTTTGTTGTCTTCTTCTGGTTGTATGTTTTGATCTTCTTTGTCACCAAAGTAAGAGGATATAGTTTGACTCTTTTTGCGCTGCTTACTCATGATCCTGCCCAATTACTTGAGTTTTAAACTCTTTGTTAAGGTAAAAGTCTGCTTTCCATGTGGAGAATGTATTGTTCCAAGCTTCAGGGGTTTTTATGGCTGTTTTCAGAGATACTTCTAGGGACCTGAAAATTTTCTGTTCTTCCAAGGTGATATGATAAGGGGCGAGGTGATTTCTCTACAGCACTACAACAAACCCTACCATATCAGCACTCCTCCTCGCCCCAGGACCACCCCTCAGAACTGTGACCCAGATCTAAGCACAGGCAAAGCAAGAGATTCCTGCCACAGCACTGGCAAAGAGATCCCTGAAATCCCCCTCTGATCAGTCACTTGATTCCCCCTCAGTCTGTGGGCTGGAAGCTCAGGAAACAGCCACCGCCCCGAGCTGCGCTCTAGACTTGTGACTGAAACCTAGCTCCTTTCTCACTGCCATCACAGACTTTTCCTACTGACCTTCCAAGTTGTCTTTGGCATTCATGGGTTGAGAAGTCTGGAAACTGCCACAGCTGCCTGTGATTCAGTCCTCTGAGGCCTGCTCTAGGGTTGCTGAGGCCTGCGTGCCCATGTTGAACTGCGCTCCTCTCCCTGCCTGGTGCGATATACTTTCTATTCAACCATCCAGGCTGTCTTTGGCTGGAAATCTGTTTCACTCTGTCTTTTTTTGGGTTCTACTGCTTTAGAATTTGTTTAGAGTCATTTTTTATAGGTATTTGGAGGAGTTTGGGGGGGAACTCAAGCAAGTCACTGCTTTCCCTCCACCATCTTGGCTCCGCCCCCCCCCCCGAGATTCCAATATGAAGTCACACAAACTACAGAGATTGCCCATTGGTAGGAATGCATGTATGGGAAAGATAGTAAAAATGGTCAGAGGTCACAGGTCAAAGAAGAAACATTGTAAAAAGTTCAGGTTGAAAGAATTCAAGTACTAAACAATCACAGTCAGGAACTCAAAAGGCTATGTTGTGAGTACAATCACACTGAAAAAGAAATTGAAATATGATATTCCAAAAACCAAAAAAAAGAAAAATAAAGTACAACTCCTGAGTATAATCTAGAAGGGAAATTTATACATTCACTAGATTAAAGAACTTTCTAGTATTCCTGATGAAAAGACCTGTGTGAAGCATAAACTTTGGAATGCAAAAACAAGAAACAAGGAAAACCCAGAAAAGTGAAACATTTAAACAGTAGGAATTTACTAAACATTGATGAACTGTTAACCTTGAATTAAGAAGTATCTCTTCAGAACTTCCTGATTTAGATAGGGAGATGTGAAAGACAAACACAAAGGCTGCAGGTACTCTGTGTGTGTGTGTGTGTGTGTGTGTGTGTGTATGGTGTCTATGTGAGTGTGTATAAAGTCCTTAGTCCTTCCCTCCCTCCTTCCTTCCCTTCTTCCTCTCTCCTTTTCTCCCTTCTTTTTTTTTCCATTGTTCCTTCCCTGATTTCTTTTTTGTTAATGTGGAACGCTCTTTCTAAATTTATTTACTCAGTTATTTATTTTTATAATTCTTTTTCAACATTTTGCATTCCAAATACTCTTTTTCCCTTCACCCATCCCCATCCATTGAGAAGACAAGTAATATTTTGTCAATTATGCATGTGAAGGCATATGAAACATATTTCCTTATGATATTAGCCATGTTGCAAATTAAAAAAATAAGGAAAATAAAGAAAAAAGTATACTTTAGTCTTCACCCAGAGTTAATCAGTTCTCTCTCTCTAGAGTTGGACTGTATTTGTCTCCCCCATTTTAAAAAATAATATTTTTCAATTATATGTAAGGATGATTTTCAACATTCATTTTAAAATTTTGAATTCCAAATTTTCTCCCTCCCTCCCTTTCTCCCCTCCTTAAAATGGCAAGATTTTTATATGATACACACATATACATATGTATATGTATATATTTGTATATACATAAATATATATATTTGTATATATAAGTTTATATATTCATATATGTATATATATATATATTCTTGCCATTTTTAGGGTGGGGAGAAAGGGAGAGAGGGAGAAAATTTGGTTACACATATACAGATATATAGATATGTATGTGTATGTTTGTGTATCATATAAAATTCTTGCCACTTTAGGGAGGGGAGAAATGGAGGGAGGGAGAAAATTTGGAATATATATATATGTATATGTGTGTGTGTATATATATATATACACATATATGTATATAATGTAAAACATTTCTATTGTAGTTATATTGTAAAAGAAGAAAAAGAACAAAGGGGAAAAACATGAAAAAGATAAAGAAAGTTAAAATAGTATGCTTTGATCTGCATTTAGATTCCATCATTTTTTTTTCTGGATGTAGACAGCATTTTCCATCATGAGTCCTTTCAAATTTTCTTGGATCATTGTGTTGCTGAGAAGAGCTAAGTTATTCACAGTTAATCATCAGACAATCTTGCTATTACTGTGTACATTTTTCTGATTCTGCTAACTTCACTTTCCATCAGTTCATGTAAGTCTTTCCAGTTTTTCTGAAATCCTCCTGCTTGTTATTTTTGTAGCAAAATAATATTCCATTATATTCATATACCACAACTTGTTCATCCATTCCCCAATTAATGAGCATCCCCTCAATTTCTGATTCTTTGCCATCACAAAAAGAGGTGCTGTAAATATTTTTGTATACGTTGAGTCCTTTTCATTTTCTTTGATCTCTTTGGAATACAGACTGAGTGTTAGTATTGTTAGATCAAAGGTTATACAGTTTTATTGCCCTTTTTGATATAATTCCAAATTGTTCTCCAGGAAGACTGGGCTGGTTCACAACTCCACCAACAGTGAATCCATGTCCCTATTTTCCCACAACTCCTCCAGCATTTTCATTTTCCTTTTCTGTTATAATAGCTAATCTGATAGATGTGGGGTGGCACCTCAGAGTTCTTTTAATTTGAGTTTTTCTAATTAATAGTGATCTAGAGTATTTTTTCATGTGGCAGTTGATAGCTTTGATTCCTACTTCTGAAAACTGCCTGTTCATATCCTTTGACCATTTATCAACTGTGGATTGACTTTTATTTTTATAAGTTTGGATCAGTTCCTTATATATTTGAGAAATGAGGCCTTTTTTTTCAGAGAAACTTGCTATAAATTTTCCCTTCCATTTCCTGCTTTCTTTCTAATTTGTCTGCATGAGTTTTGTTTATGCAAAACTTTTTTAATTTCATATACTGAAAGTTATCCGTTTTATTCCCTTTGATCTCTTGATTTCTTGTTTTGTCATGAACTTTTTTCTTATTCATATATCTGACAGAAAAATTTCTGTGCTCCTCTAATTTACTTGTAATATCAACCTTTATGTCTGAATCATGTACCTATTTTGACCTTATTCTCATATACAGTATTAGCTTTTATTCCTGTTTTCTGTCAAATTAGTTTCCAGTTTTCCCAGTAATTTTTATCTAATGATGAGTTCTTACCCCCAAAAGTTGTATCATTTCCTCCCTCCCTTCTTGCCTGCCTTCCTTTCTACTGTATGTGAGATTACAAACCTTGTGAAAGATGGAGTTGAGGAATTTGAAGATATTCAAATAGTGAATCTAAATGCCACCTTTGTGTATAGGTCATCAGTTTGGATACTGCTTTCTTAGCATAACTTTAGGCTTAGGATTCTACCAATACTAGTAAAGAATTCAGATTTCACAGGCATCATTTATTCATGTAAACTCAGCCCAATTTTGTCATCTTTACTGCCTACCTTTCAAGCTACAAAGAGGAACTTGATTCATGTTACATATGTTAGCTACTGAAAATGCTATCCATCTAATTACTCTTCCCACTCCTCCTCCCCAAGACATAGCCCAGGTAACAAACAACACTTCTTCACTTGCAGTAAGAAACAAGTGAGGAGGTAGTGAATTCTAGGCAGCTAGTGGAAAGATATAGCAATAGCAGATGAAGTGCCTACCCTGAAAGATAAACTGAAGAAAACAATGACATATTTATTTCTCACTTGACTGGTCTGCAAATTTAATTGTCACCTTATTTTAAACACCTAGACAATTATAAATATGAATGTATATATAACTCATTTGTTTTAAACAAATATGACATCTTTGGTCTTACTCCATCTTAATGAGAAAGATTAATAATCTTATACTTTTTGAAATGAATGTTTGAAACTGGAAATCTTATGATTTTTGCCATAAATATTGCTAAATAAAGAATTCTCTAGTTTATAAAACTGGGATGCAAATTTTACTGCCATTTGGTGTATCTTTGTGAAATTGGGTGCTTTGTTTTAGCTATTATAAAGATAAAATACCTATCTCAATTATTCAACTACTCAGGGCTCACATGGATCTATAATCCCAATAAGTCTCATCAATATGTTGAATAAATGAATATTCTAGAAGTATACACACTATATATACGCATGTATAGCAGATAAATTTAGCTAAAATAAAGGTTTCAGTCCCTATAGTAGAATTTCTTGAGAACTAACACCCTATAAACTCCAAACTTCAAGTCATGTTACCCCTGATAGTCTAACACTTGAACCTCAAATTATCAATTCAGTTCAGTCATTTTTTTTCAGTCATTTCTGATTTTTCATGACTCTAATTGAAGTTTTGTTAGCAAAGGTACTGGAGTGGTTTGCCATTTCCTTCTCCAGCTCAGTGTTCACTTTGGCAGCACACATACTAAAATTGGAGTGATACAGAGAAGACTAGCATGGCCCCTGTGCAAGAATGACATGCAAATTCTTGAAGTGTTTCATATTTTTTTTTGTATAATATCCACATTCTTGAGGAGAAGTTAAGAGACTTAGAGGAAGAAATAGCCAAACAATACTAATGGGGTACCTCAACCTTCCCCTCTTAGAACTAGATAAATCTAACCACAAAATAAACAAGAAATAAGGAGGTAAGTAGAATTTTGGAAAAGTTAGATACGGTAGACTTCTAGAGAAAATTGAATGGGGAGAGAAATGAATATACCTTTTTTATCAACATGACATGACACCTATGCAAAAATTGACCATGTACTAGGGCACAAAAACCTCACAATCTTTCTCTAGTTCATTCCACAGATGAGGAACTGAGCCAAACAGATGTAAGTAACTTGCCCAGGGTCACACAGCTTGTATTTGAGGCCAAATTTTAACACAGGTCTTCCTGACTCCATGCTTGGCACTCTATCCACTGTACCACCTAGCTGTCCCATATTATCAATACCTAGCTTTACACCTTTGGATAAGCCACCTCATTTTATATTGAGTAAACAGAGGCCCAATGAGATTAAAATACTTGCCCAGAGTCACCAAGACTAGTAATAATCCTTTCAGTATTTGCTAAACTATTCCACAAGAAGCAGTTTCTGCGGGGGACCAGGACCTGTTAGAAGATGCATTGCACTGGTATGACCTTATAGAACACAGGATCCCTTTCACATCATACTAAGGCCCCAGAATATGACTTTAAAGAAACGATGCAGAGTTATTTAAATCAGAGTTATAAGTACAGAAAAGAGCAGGAACCAAATAAAAATGGATGAGAAATAAAAGTTGCACATACAGTCAACACTAGTGTAAGATCCTGAGGTAGTGGAGTAGGAAGACTGTTGGACTTGTAGTCAAGATGACTTTAATTTCAATCTTGACATTGATGCTTATCATTATGTGACTTTGGACAAGTGGAAGAATTTTTCCACTGGAAGTAATCATATCTATAATATCTATGTCAAAATCCTCTTCTCTCATTAGTCAGTTCCTCTTGGAACCTCCATTTTTAGGAAGGCTCCAGACCATCCATCATTTATTCTCTGCATTTTGCCACCATGGCCCTTTGTTAGTACCTTCTCGTACCTTTCCTCTCTGTTTTTCAGTCTCTTTTATGTATTGTCTCCCACCATTAGATTGTAAGATCCTTGAGGGCAGGGACTGTCTTTTTCATCACATTTGTGTCCCTAGCACTTAGTACAGTGCCTAGTATATAGTAAGTACTTAATAAATGCTTGATTTGATAAAGTTGTTAGAAGTATGCAGCAAGAAAATATATGCAAAATTACTATGTAAGGGTCAATTTTTTAATTTTTATTTTTATTTTCACTATTGTATGCTGTTGGAGAATTAATAGACTCAGACTTTCTTTAAACTTTTGCCCTTGTATTTATGGCATTGACTAATCACACCATTTCATGGTTAGCATCATCCTGAAAAACAGGTATGAAAGAAACCAAGAAATTATACATAGTCCTTGGAGCCAGTGGAAGAGCAGAAAAAAAAAACAAATAAAACAAAACAAAATAAAGTAAACAAACAAAAACAGGCCAGACAAACCCTGAATGAATAATTAAACTTTCATATTTTTAAGGAGTAAATAACTAGTAACTTATTCCTTAATAAGTGAAAGGGCAAACCATCTCTATTATGTAGAGTGAAGTGCTCCAAATACTAACTTATATTAAATAATTTTGGACCAAGATTAATGAAGCTGGGAAAAAATAGTCTTCTTAAGGAGCTTTAGAACAATGACCACAGATGCAATAGTTTGAAATTGCACACAGCTGGGAAATTTTCAATTTTACTGTTGGCCTCTACATAAAAATACTGCATTAGGCCTATAAATACATTAATCAAAAAAGGGATGGTGAATAGTGATTCATCTAGTACTTAAATAATTCTGCAATCTATTTGGAACAGGCCATCAACATTATAAGAAATAGTAAATGCTTTTCCTGTTAAGCTCTTTCTTAGTTCACTTACAGTAATTCTCTGTTCCTGCATGACTGTTCTCTTAAACTTTTGCATTTTACATTAACTTCCCTATGTGGTGATTTCTGGTAATGGTAAGAGTCCTGGATTTTGACCAAGGAAAAATAAATGAAAGCTAGATTGTAGAGGGAATAGAACACTGGACTTGGTTTCTAGAATACCTGAGTTCAAATGCTGCCTGAGGCACAGGTCACAATATTTCAGCCTCAGTTTCCTCTCTGTAAATTGAGATGATAATAAAAATAATACATACATTTCAAGATTGTTATAAGGATCAAATGAGATAATATATAAAATGCTTTGGAAACTTTGAAGTACAATATGTTATTGTCTTTTTATCTCAGATCTCATACTTCTTATCTGTGTGAGCTTAGGCAAAGACTCTCTAAGCCTTAATTTTTTTTCATCTGTAAAGTGAAACTAATAATATTTGTAGTACATAGTATCAAAGTTGCAAGGAAAATACTTCATAGTTTTATAAACCTTCTCTTTAACTACAAATATCATTTCTTCTTATTATTATAATGTGTCAGGACAGTTAAGATGACACTTTCATTATGTTTCTGTTATTAGTATAAATTTTAAAAATTTCATTCAGGGTGTACTTAATAAATGCTATTGGCTTCTCTCCACTTTTCAGAATGGATGAAAATAAGGGGAAAAAACTATACTTAAAGAAAACAATCCTTCCTTTTGACTTCAATTACATCTAGGGTGGCAAAATTAAAATGTTACATTTTATAGTCTTGTTCATATTTCCATGGGCAACAGACCTGAGCCAATACTTCATAAGCAAAATCTTTTGGTAATTGAAACATGCTTTGACTCTGAGAAGGCGATTCCTTCTGAAGTGGTAGCCATTGATTTGGAACCCACAGTGGAGTAACTGGACTGAATGATGAAATGAACTTATTAGAAATATCAGACTTCTTAGAGCATGATGGGCTTCATTTTATGTACACTGACATATATTATGTGGATTGGAACCAATCATTTTCCCAAAATGTACATTTTAACCAACTTTTAGAGAAAGGAAAATGGAGAATACATTTACATTCAAGCCAAATCCTCTGCTTTGTCTTTAAAATGTAATCATTAAAAGAAGGTATCACTCAGCAGACCATTTATTCAAAGTCTATTAAACCAAATTAACTCATCATTGATTTGTTACTGATGGAAGGTGATGAGTTGGTAGACTACTCTGATGCTTCTGATATCAGAGAAGTGAACATTTCTTTTCTTCCCAAGACTATTCATGAAAAATGAGTTCTTTTAATTTGTTATCTCTGCAGAATTTCAGTCTGCCTTCATTTTAAGTTGCCATAGAGAAATGGAGTTTTGCCATTTATTCTGGAGACAAGTTACTATTCTCAAGTGCCTGTTTACATATACATCTTTACCTGCAAACTTAATGATGTAGGGCTTTATAGTCACTAACCAATACTTTTATATTTATGTACTTTACGAATATTTAAAGATGAATTCTCAAAGAAAAAATGGAAACAGAAACAAATGTGACCATGGAGTAGATGCATAAAAATATTGTATTTGCCAGTGTCTCATACAGTGAAAACAAATGCATTAAGAAAATCTATTACTTAAATAAAACTTTCTTTATCTCTACTTCAAAAATCATCAGTCATACCTTTCCATTATGTGTGATAAGTTTTGGCATTTTTTTTTTAGGCAATTGGGGTTAAGTGACTTGCCCAGGGTCACAGAGCTAGTACGTGTCAAGTGTTTGGTCTGAGGCCGGATTTGAACTCAGGTCCTCCTGAGTTCAGGGCCGGTGCTCTATCTACTGTGCCAACTAGCTGCCCCCAAGTTTTGGCATTTTAAAAGAAAACTATTTTTAACAAAAAATGTTCAGAGAAAGAAAAAATACTCAATTCTTTTCAAATAATGTCGATATAGTGAAGAAGAATTTGTTTCTCATATATAAATATCAGATATAACCTAGTTAAGTGAGGATCTTTTAAAAAAGAATCATGTTGTATACAACCTATATCAAATTGATTACAGTTGTAAGAAGGGAGGTTGGAGGGCAGAAGAGAGAAAATTTGGAACTCAAAATTTTATATAAAAATGAATGTTAAAATCATCTTTACATGTAATTGGAAAAATTCTATTTAAAAGAAAAAATAATTATGTTGCAAATACTATGAATGAAAAATGTACACATATATATGTGTGCATGTACATATATATATATATACATATAATTACATATGATTGCATGTGCTTGATCAAAAAGAAGTCAGTGAGTCAGTAATCACTAACTAAGCATTTATTATGTGCCAGGTACTCTGCTAAGCACTGAACAGATAAAGAAATGTAAAAGACAGTTCTTCTTTTCCAAGAGGTCACCATTTAATGGGAGAGACAACATGAAAACAACTATGTACAAACAAGCTACATAGAAGATAATCAACAACAAGAAAGTATGAAATTAAGGGGAAAGGTTTCCTGTAGAAGGAGGTCAGGGCTACCATAAGGTGGAGATGATGAGAGATAGCATTTCAGGCAAGAGAAACAGACAGATAAAATGCTTGGAGTCAGAAGATAGAGTTCTCATTTGAGAAACAGCGATGAAGTAAGTTTCACTGGATAGATGAGTAGATAGGGGGAAATAGAGTGTGGGGCAGTAGGGGCAGTTTATAAAAAAGTTTTGAATGCTGAATAGACAATTTTGCATTTGATCCTTGATCTGATAGGGAGCCCAATGGAATTGATAAAGTGTGAGTACACCCATAAGGGGGAACTTGATTACACCAGTACTTTAGGACAATCAGTTTGGCAGTTTAATGGTTGATGGACTGGAGTGACAGAGACTTGAGGCAAAGAGACTAAATCAGCAAACTATTGCAGTAGTTGAAGTGTGAAATGATAAGGCTCTGTACCAGGGTGGTGACAGTGTTAGGGGAAAGAAAGGAGGCACATATGAGAGATATCATGAAGGTGAAATTCATAGACCTTGAAAACAAATCAGATATGAAGGGGGCAGAAGAAAA